TAAGTTATGTGAAACATAGAAGCACTACCTCTGAAAAAAAAAAAACATTAGACAAATACAAGATTTTACAAAATTCTTTAAAAAAAAAAACTAAACCATAAAAAAAACCATAATTCGTTAAAAAAATGTTAAGCCCCGAAATCTATAAGAAAAAGTCATTTTGGGCCACAGCCTAATTGTCGTGTTGGCTTGTGTTATCCAACTCATTTAGCAAACAAATTAGGTTTGAATTCTGTGATTTTCACCCCGATTTCATGAATTCCTTCTCCAGGAGCAAACAAACTAGTTCCCAAATTATTTACATAAACAATTGAAAATAATTGAAAACTTGTGGACAATTTTAGATTATTTCGCAAATAATGGGACAATATTGAGTACTCAAGTTATTGCTTGATTAACTATATTTACATATTTTTATTTGTATGACGTACACGAGAATATGATTTAAATACAGTTTTGTCTCTACCTATAATAGGTTTATCGAATATCTTTGCCGACTTTTTCGCCCTCTGGACGTATCTTACTTTGGTCGTTTCCATTTGATGAGTTGCCGGAACCGAAAATATTTAAATCTGTTTGCTAACACATTTCTAAGCTCTACTGCTAAATTATTGAAATTAATTAATATATTAAACATTAATATTTTATATCTTACAGCCCTGCTGAAAGCAGCCTGCTAATTAAAATATTGGGAAAGGGACTGGTAAACACAAAATTATCTCTTGATATACAACAAAAAAATCCGAATTCACCCATACATTCTGTAAAAACTTTTGAAGCATTACATCTGTAAGTTTAAAAAAATATGTGAACACTATGCTTCAAGATTTGTTTTTATAGGAAGAAGGAACTGTTAAAGGGCATTTATACAATGGGCTTTAACACGCCATCGAAAATACAAGACACTGCTTTGCCCACGCTCCTTGCAGATCCACCACAAAATATGATAGCCCAAAGCCAGTCTGGAACATGAAAATCGGCTGCCTTTGTATTGTCAATACTTAGTCGTGCGAACGTTGAGTTAAATCACCCTCAAGTACTACAAAATCACATAGGTATATTAGATTCATGTCAATGTACATATGTAACAGCCAGAAGAAAGCGTTTCCGACCCCAAAACATATTTATTATTGTTCAGCATTAATGGCCATGTTTGTTTTTCTGTCCCGTTTGACGCCTTCGTTACATCAAATAAAATTAATTTTTTAAATTATGTATTATTTATATATTTTTTATTTTTATTCGTTATAAATTTCTCCAAAAGATAAATTGCATTAATTACTAAATTTAATTTTAGGTTCTGTGCTTATCCCCTACATATGAGTTGGCAATTCAAACAGGGGAAGTTACTGCACGTATGGGACAGTTCTGTCCCGATATCAAAATAAGATTTGCAGTTCGCGGTGAAGAAGGTCTGTACAACATAAGCAGTTTATATCAATTCAAAATTCAAAACTTGAAATTTTTGATTTTCAATTGATCGTAATAAAAAGATTACCGAGCACATTCGAATTGGAACGCCAGGAAAAATGTTGAATTTCAGTTTTTGTATTAGATGAAGCGGATGTTATGATAGCCACTCAAGGTCACCATGATCAGTGTATTCGAATACATAAGTAGTACATACATACATATATACATACAATTTTACTAAATCAAGCAGTGTGACTGAAATATATGAACTGACTTTTCGGTTTAATTGATCCAATTTATTATACCCGTACTCAAAAAAGAGTTAAGGGGTATATTGTATTTTTGGTAAAAGTTGATGTGTGCAACGCAGAGAACATTACATTTTTTTGCTACATATGTTATCTACATCTACATCTACAATGTATATTGTACATCTAACATGTAGATTATACATGTACCATTTAGATTCTACATCATCTCCGCTAGGGGTTGCTCGCGCAGTGAACGTGGCAGAGTGTGCGAGCGAGAAAGAGAATCAGTAGCGTCAGCAGCGCTGGAGAAGGAGAGGGAACCAACAGAAAATTAATTTCTTCATTCTGGCTATAATTATGATCCGATCTAGTTCAGATTCGGCAATCTGGTAGATATGGTCATTCTCTACGATACTGCGTTTTTAGTTTTATAGTATCTTTAAAATTGTGCCTGCCACAGATTTTCGTCCTTTGTGGGGGCGGAAGGCGGCGGGGCGAAATTTTGAAATACACTTATAGCAGTGTGATGAGCCTGGAAATCAAATTTGGTTTCTCTAGCTCTTATAGTCTCTCAGATCCAGGCGCTCATCAAGACGGACTGACGGACAGACGGACATGGCTATATCGACTCGGCTTTTGATGCTGATCAAGAATATATATATACTTTATGGGGTCGGAAACGTTTCCTTCTCTGCGTTGCACACATCAACTTTTACCAAAAATACAATATACTCTTTTTGAGTACGGGGTTCCAATTAGAATGTGCTCGGTAATCTTTTTATTACGATCAATTGAAAATCAAAAATTTCAAGTTTTGAATTTTGAATTGATATAAACTGCTTATGTTGTACAGACCTTCTTCACCGCGAACTGCAAATCTTATTTTGATATCGGGACAGAACTGTCCCATACGTGCAGTAACTTCCCCTGTTTGAATTGCCAACTCATATGTAGGGGATAAGCACAGAACCTAAAATTAAATTTAGTAATTAATGCAATTTATCTTTTGGAGAAATTTATAACGAATAAAAATAAAAAATATATAAATAATACATAATTTAAAAAATTAATTTTATTTGATGTAACGAAGGCGTCAAACGGGACAGAAAAACAAACATGGCCATTAATGCTGAACAATAATAAATATGTTTTGGGTTCGGAAACGCTTTCTTCTGGCTGTTACATATGTACATTGACATGAATCTAATATACCTATGTGATTTTGTAGTACTTGAGGGTGATTTAACTCAACATTCGCACGACTAAGTATTGACAAGACAAAGGCAGCCGATTTTCCTGTTCCAGACTGGCTTTGGGCTATCATATTTTGTGGTGGATCTGCAAGGAGCGTGGGCAAAGCAGTGTCTTGTATTTTCGATGGCGTGTTAAAGCCCATTGTATAAATGCCCTTTAACAGTTCCTTCTTCCTATAAAAACAAATCTTGAAGCATAGTGTTCACATATTTTTTTAAACTTACAGATGTAATGCTTCAAAAGTTTTTACAGAATGTATGGGTGAATTCGGATTTTTTTGTTGTATATCAAGAGATAATTTTGTGTTTACCAGTCCCTTTCCCAATATTTTAATTAGCAGGCTGCTTTCAGCAGGGCTGTAAGATATAAAATATTAATGTTTAATATGTTAATTAATTTCAATAATTTAGCAGTAGAGCTTAGAAATGTGTTAGCAAACAGATTTAAATATTTTCGGTTCCGGCAACTCATCAAATGGAAACGACCAAAGTAAGATACGTCCAGAGAGCGAAAAAGTCGGCAAAGATATTCGATAAACCTATTATAGGTAGAGACAAAACTGTATTTAAATCATATTCTCGTGTACGTCATACAAATAAAAATATGTAAATATAGTTAATCAAGCAATAACTTGAGTACTCAATATTGTCCCATTATTTGCGAAATAATCTAAAATTGTCCACAAGTTTTCAATTATTTTCAATTGTTTATGTAAATAATTTGGGAACTAGTTTGATTGCTCCTGGAGGAAGAATTCATGAAATCGGGGTGAAAATCACAGAATTCAAACCTAATTTGTTTGCTAAATGAGTTGGATAACACAAGCCAACACGACAATTAGGCTGTGGCCCAAAATGACTTTTTCTTATAGATTTCGGGGCTTAACATTTTTTTAACGAATTATGGTTTTTTTTATGGTTTAGTTTTTTTTTTAAAGAATTTTGTAAAATCTGGTATTTGTTTAATGTTTTTTTTTTTCAGAGGTAGTGCTTCTATTTTTCACATAACTTAAGTATCTTATATCTGGTTGCATAGAACTTTGCAGTTCTGTAAAGCTGGCAAGTGCAATTATAATTCGGACCCAGACACTTTGTATCTGCAGCTTAACGCCTGGAAGATATTAAGCTTTAAAATTCAGATTTCATCATTTTTTTGCGGTATTTTTCCCCGAAATTTTGACTTTAAAAACTTGCGAAAAGTTGAAAGAAAAAGAAAAATTATTGTCCAACATTTTTGGTTTAGATAGACGCATTAATTAGGCGTCGTGTAAGGTATCGTTTGGAAGAATCGATGGATAAACGGCAAAATTGCAGCCGTTTGACCAAAACGACTCAAAACTAATTTTACCTGAAAAGTACCGTTTCTGTTCCAATGCCAAAGGAACACGTTCAGGTACCAAAAATTCAACCCCTTTTCGTTTGCTTTCTTCCCAATTGGCAGTTCGGCCCGCAACCTTCCAAAAAGTATTTATTGTCTATTTTTCCATGTTTTAGGTTTGGTTAACGAATTTTAGCTCCACCGGGGCTCCAGTGAGCGTTGCTTTATTTTTATTTTTTTATTTTTTATTTTTTTTTATTTAAGAGACGCTGCAAAGCAAAGCACCAGCGAGAACATGGGCTGGCGCTTAGCCGAAAAGCAACCAAACAATTGCTGTTTTATAAAAGGTTATATTCCTTTAATAATAACATCGTTTTCTGATGAGGGCTTTTTGGGTCAACATTTTCTAATAAATTCAATTTGTACGAGGAGCCTCTGGATTCCACAAGTTTGGGTATATTGAAGATATTGAAGACTATGAGGTAGAGAAAGGTTTCCCTTAAAATTGTTTGAATGTTAGGGGTTTTGTATTCCATATAGAAATAGGTTAGTGGTTATGCCAATGCTACATTTATATTAGTTATAAGTAAATTTGAGTATTATTTTTATAATAATAAGCATTACAAAAAATAGCTCATTGTAGTAAAACTTCCTTTAGGTCAAACGTGTGCATAGTTTTTGTGCAAATTGTGAAAACATTTGTAGTCATTTGTAGTTCTACCAAGTGGCATCGCTTCAAATGCCAAAACAAAACTAAAAAACCATTTCTACACATTATGCCATTGTTTTTGACATAAAAAAAACCCCTGTTCGGCTAAGCGCAGACACATGCACTAGAATAGAAGCAATAGAAGCATAGCGATCATTATACCAAAAACTGGTAATTGTAATGAACTAAATTAGCAGTGGGCAGCAACATACGTCCGAACGTCTGAACGTGAAAACGAGTCCGATGCGCATCTGAGAAGCCTGCGCTGCAAGGTTTGTAAGTGAACATTACATGTACTACTGATATACAAAAGTACTAAAATGAAGAATTAAATTTACAGAAAAAGATAACGAGTGCACAAAAGGCCTAACATCGGAGGAGCGTCTCGAATCGATGGATCAAAAAATCACTCGCAAATTTGAGGTTGTGCTCGGAAGTTGCTGAGCTAAAAGTGATGGTGGGCCAGCTTACAGCCAATCAATTAAATCAAACTAACATCTTGGCAGCTGCCCCATAACAAGTTTCGATGACCTCGTTGATCTCAACGAAAAAATTGGGAAGGGTAGTCGAGACGAATACGTACGTATTGTTGATATACATATACATACCTATCTAATTTTACTAAAAAAATATTTTTAACAGATCAATGATTGCATCAGCGCCTGCATCCAGGCTTAGTTGGATAAAATTTAAAAAATATTTTTACTGACGGGGTGGGCTTAGACTGCAATGTGGATGGGGTGCTAGGCAAGAGGTGCCTTAAGTCTCTTGAATCAAATCCCAATTTTAAATAACAATATTTAAAATATTTCTTCAAATATATTTTCAGCATTAATTGAAATGGTAGGGCCCAGTGATCACACACCTGCGCCATGCTTTACACCTGCAAAAGAAGACGGTGATTTCAAAAAGTAATAAAAATAAAGCTACGAATAATTGTCAATAGTTATTAAGATTTAGATTTAAGCCAGGAAGGAATTTGTTGTTTTTTTTCGCCATTGAAGGGTTTTTCGTTTTTATTTATTATTTGTAGTTAATAGTTATTAAGATTTAGATTTAAGCCAGGAACGACTTTTTTCCTTAATTCAAATTTTACTTTGTTTTTTGTTTTTAATTTGTCTTAATATAAATAACAAAAGAATATAAAATAAAAATGGTGTTTTATTGAGCCTAGACCATTCGCTGCCCAGCCAGCCTAGCCATGGTCTAGGTAACGTGGGCCAGTCTGGTATATTCAGCGTAGCCAGTGATCTAGACAACGTGGGCCAGTCCATGGTCTGGTATACTCAGTGAGCCCGGTGTCTAGGCCAGGTGGTCTAGTCCATGGTCTACCCAGCCTAGCCAGTGGTCTAGACTACGCTGATGCAATGCCTGCCGACACATCAGCCCCAATGACATGCAATGCGAAAATGGTATAGGATTTTACATGGAGTCGGGTTAGTCTACAGGCCAGTGATGGACCGGCTGGGCTAGTGAGATAGCTAGGCAAGGGCTAGTCCGCCGAACTGCTGGGAGCATACGTGGCACACACACATTTACTTTAACTGCAAACTCAAAACAAAAACGGTTTCGGAAAAAATAGCCTTTTTACACTGGGCGCGTCTGCTATCGCTGTCGGAATAGACGCAATGAAGCAGAAAAGGAGTTTAAATTGGCAGACGTGCGTCTTAAATTTTGATTTGGGTGCTTAATGACAAGGAATGTGTTTTGTAGGAGGGCGGATGTGGTCGGGTCGGCTTCGGTTTCCCAAGAGTATTATTCCCAATAAATAGTCTTCAGATGGTGCTTTAAAGTATCGATGGTATATTTTTGGATCGTGACAGATATGCGCGGAGCTTGTATGTTTGGCGGGGGTGGAAACGATACTGATTCTCTCTCGTTTAGGCATAGCTCGGCCGGCGGGTAGCGCCCGTGATGGAGAGCCGTGGATGGCATTCACGCAGCGCGAGAGCGAAGGGCACAGGAGAGTGCGCGAGCTAACGCAGCGATGTTAATAGCATTAACAGCGCTGCTGCCCTAAACATCCTCCGCCCCCCCCTTGCAGAACTGCAACGTCCCGTCCTATGGCTGCTTACAAGCCCCGGACACAATCCATCCGAAAACGGTGCTCTGGGCCACTGGAAGGCCGTCTCCTCGCGCAAGGAACCCGGGCTGAATCACCTTCTGATAAACATCGGCTCCCAATACGAGAGAGATGGTGGCCGGGCGATGGAAGTTTTCATTGGCAAGGCGAATGTCGTCGAACTTGGCCCGAGTCGTCTCGCTCAAGGGTCGCAGCGGCGTGCGGACGCGTAAGCAGGGTTCAATCTTGAGGACCACGTCCAATTGGACCTCGCCGGCTTTGGCGCGGACGATAGGCTACCTTCTCCGATCGGATGGGCGTGCTGGGTAATTTGAAGTCGGCGGCCAAGGAAGCGTCAATGCAGCTCATCGGCGTGCATGGGTCGATGAGCGCCGTTGTCTCGTGGGTTTTGGCGCCATATCCAAGATCACCTGGGCCGTCGGGAGGAAATTTATGCTTCGGTGCTGGAGCAGGGTGTTGACCGATGGAGCAGGATTCCCCACGAAGGGACGGCTTGCTGGGAGCCGGGGCGGCGACTGGTTTGGGACACCGGAGCTGGAGACGGAACGGGAGCCGGAGCAGCCGATTCCGATCTGGCTGGAACCGTCGCATGTGGAGCAGCGTGTGGTGGTTTTTGTGGCACACCTTGCACCGGCCCCCACTTCGGCAGTCCTTGCCGGAATGCTGGTGAGCCAGGCAGTTCCGACAGTACTTGTTGACCAGTACGGCTCGGAGCCTTTTCGCCACGGTCAGCTTGAGGAAACTGCGTCAGTCCCGTAGCGGATGCCTTCCGGAGCAGACGCGGCAGCGGTAAGCGGGTGTTCCTCGGGAAAGTTGGCTCCCTGAGGTGCGGTTGTCACGGGATCGTGGAGCCATCTGGATCTGGATGCGAAATAACTGGTACGGAAAAGAAGAATCGGAGACGCATTAGTAACGTGCTAGGAACAGATAACAAGCACACTCTAAGTACTGTTGGACGAACAAAAAAACGAGTGCGTTTTGGATGCGAACCAAAAAAAAAAACCACAGTACGTGGATGGAATAGTAGACACGGAAAGGCATTATAAATGGGAACGCCTTCCGTTACTGTTGTACGGAATGAGGGGGTTCTACCGGAAGGAGAACGACCTTTGCGAACGGGCGTTTGAGAACACCGCGGGCCGTGAGAATGTCTACCACACGGACCCTATTGTCGGCGCCGGGAGACACGGACTGTACTCTTCCGAGTCGCCAGTCATTAGAGGGCAGGTTATCTTCCTTGACGATAACCATATCGCCGACCTGAAGATTGGGCATCGCTGTCTGCCACTTGTTGCGCTTGTGGAGTTCTTTGATATACTCATCTTTCCACCTCTGGCAGAACAGCTGGTTGAGGGCCTTCAAATGCTGCCACCGATTAATGATCGACATGAGGTACTCCTTTATTTCGAGCTCTGCTGTCGCCATTAACGGGGCTCCAATAAGGAAATACCCGGGAGTAAGGGCCAGCAACTCCGTCGGATTTTCGGACATGGGTGAGAGCGGCCTGGAATTAAGGCATGCTTCAATCTTCGCGAGAAGCGTCGAAAGCTCTTCAAATGTATATTTCCGGGTCGACGTGGCTTTGTAGAAGAGCGTTTTAAAACTATTTACGCCGGCTTCCCACAAGCCCCCCATGTGTGGAGCTCCTGGCGGGATGAACCTCCATGAAACCCGCTGATGGCTATATGCATCAGTCACCGAGCCCTGGAACGCCTCGAGGAAGTCCCGAGAAAGGACAGTGGCTGCTCCCACAAAAGTTTTCCCATTATCTGAATGGATATGCTGCGGACAACCTCGTCGAGCGACGAAACGAGCAAAGGCGGCTAGAAATTTCTCGGTGGTCAGGTCGGAAGTGACCTCCAAGGGAATAGCCTTTGTGGAAAATCATGCGAATACGCACACATAACCTTTAGTAATCAGGCAAGCTCTCCCGGTATAATTCTTTATGTCAAAAGGACCGGCGTAATCAATGCCTGTATGGGTAAACGGTCTGGAGAAAGCAGTTCGATCTGTCGGGAGATCACCCATCAGTTGGGTCGGTAACTTCTTCTTGTGGACGATACACACTTTGCATGAGTTCACCACACCCTTTATCAGGTTCCAGATCCTCTGAATCCAATACTTGCAACAAATTTGTATTTTTTGTATTTTATATTATGCTTTATCCTAACGCTACAAGTATAGACTTATTTTTATTGCGCTAGTCACTCGGTGAATATATGTATAGTTAATTTTTGATGTTATCTACTTAAATCTAATACTTATACATTGACGTTTTGACAAGAGTTATGTACTTAAATCGAATACTTATACATTAATATGTTGTTTTGTTTTATATTTTTTTTTTTTTTTTTTTAATTTTTTTTTATTTTTTTATTTGTTTTTTTATATTTTTTGTATATTGATGAGTCTATTTATTTAGCTTATTTTTAATGGTTTCCTAAATGTTCTTTGATTTTAATTTGAAATTGGGTTGCGCTCCTAATGGATTTAAGGTGATGAGGAAGACTGTTCCATAAGCGGATTGCATTGACAATGAACTGCCTCTTCGAGCACAGCGTTTGAGTTCGAGGGCATAAATGGTTGGTTCATTGTGATGTAGCAGGGTTAAGTTTTCAGTAAAGTTAAATCGGTTCTTGAGTCGTCACAATTTTATGAAAGTATACTAAGGTTCTAAAATCTATCCAAGTGGTCAAGTTAAGGTCAAGTATTTTATTAGTTAGGTGTGATACATGGTCGAAACGTCTTAAATTAAACACATATCGGACAATTGAATTAAAGGCTACTACTAAGTCTTATTTTTTCTGGCAAACATTTTTAGACGCTGACAATTGGCGCAACAGACCATAGGTACGTCCTGTTGCCTTTGATATGTGTTTACTCCATTCCCTTTTGCCCATTTCTCTATTGTGGAAAGCATTTTGTTACACGTACTGACACATTTGGACGTCATCAGCATATAGATGTACTTCACATTCGGACAAAACAGTATGTAGATCATTAACATATATGTTATATATATATGTATATATATATGTATATATATATACATATATGTTTATAACAATAAAGGGCCTAACACAGATCCCTGAGGGACTCCCCGCATAAGTTTCATAAACTGGAAACATTCGTACCTGAGACTACTGCCTGCAATCGATTTGTAAGATAAGACTTAACAAAGTTGACTGCAGTGTCTGAAAAATTGAATAGATTCGTCAATTTTGTGCAGAGTATGTTATGGTTTACGGAGTCAAATGCCTTACTATGGTCAATAAGTGTTAAGAAAGTAACCCAGTTTTTGTCAAGTTGCTGTCGTATATCTTCCACAATATCCGTTATGGCACTTATGCAACTTCGTTTTTTCCGAAACCCCGACTGCTATTGGCTAATCAGCGAGTTTTGAGTCAGAAAGTTTTCAATCTGTGAAGACATAAGATTTTCAAGAACTTTTGAGAGAAATGGAAGTATTGAAATGGGTCTGTAATCATTGTTATGTTTTGGGATTGGTAAAAAATGTTTGCCTTTTTCCATACAGTCGGAAAGGAGGACGTAGTAATGGCGTTGTTAAAGATATACGTGACGTGGGACAAAATCTTGGGAAGTATAATTTTTAAGAATTTTGGATTTATGTTATCTAAGCCTTCAGCATTGGACTTCACCTTAAGTATACACGCAAGGACATCACATTGATTAACACACGCAAAGCTAAAACTATTATCACAGAGTGGGGTTGCATTCAGGTACGTGTTGCTTGTCGCTTCAGGTACACCAGTCATCGAAAACCATCTGTTAAGTTCTTCGACAGTGACTGAGCACGAGTCTTCTGTTTACATTTCCCTATTCCCAAATTGTTCATTTCAGTCCACCTTTGTTTAATAGTGGAACAGTTCTGAAATTTAGATTT